TATATATATATATATATATATATATATATATATATATATATATATATATATATATATATATATATATATATATATCATTAAGAGCAAAGGTATTCATCATAAATTGATCATTAACTTGTTCACATACAAAATATTAAAGAAAATACATAGAAGCTTAATAAAGATTACATCTACCCTTGATACAAAGGGTTTAGCTACCAAAAACCATGCTAGTTTGCTTCACAAGAAAAGGAAGGAGATGAATATGCATCCAAGATGAAAAATGGATAATGGACGCGAATCCAACTCCTATTTGATGAAGATTGTAACACCCAAGAGCGAGGGAGTAGTTGTCGGTGCATGATGCATAACAATGAGACACTCATAACAACTTGGCGAAAGAGTGGTTGTCGGTGCATGAGGCATGACAATGAGACATTCCTAGCAGCTTCTAGGGAAAAATCGAATTCACATTGGAATGAGAGGGATCCTGAGGTTGTGCAGGTATGGGACTAAATGGTTGAATGAAGGCTTATAAGGATTAATTGGTACTACCTGTACCAACAAGATACATCTTCTTTTCGGTGGTCTGTTCTATAAGAACTCCACAGTTAGGCGTGCTTGACTTGGAGTAATTCTGGGATGAGTGACCTTCTGGAAAGTTTCTCAGAAAGCATGTGAGTGAGGATAAATCATGCTGAAAAGACTCATGTTGGTTTGTGGGGTTAGTCGGTAATCCTAAAAGTAGTGTGAGGCGTTACAAATGGTATCAGAGCTAGACCTCTCCTAGTATGATGTAGTTCAGAGACGAACCAAGTGGAAGCTGGTGGGCATGTACTCATACCAGCTTCTAGGGGAAAACTGAATTCACATCGGAATGAGAGGGATCCTGAGTCTGTGCAGGTATGAGACTGCATAGTTGAATGAAGACTTATAAAGATTAATTGGTACTACCTATACCAACAATATGTATCTTCTTTTTGGTAGCCCGTTCTATAAGAACTCCACAGTTAAACATGCTTGACTTGGAGTAATTCTGGGGTGGGTGACCTTTTGGGAAGTTTATCGGAATGCATGTGAGTGAGGACAAATAATGCTGAAAAGACTCGTGTTGACTTGTGAGGTCAGTTGATAATCATAAAAGTAGTCTGAGGTGTTACAAAGATCATCTCTTGGATGAAGAAATTATGTTTTTAGGGTTTTTGTGCTCTAAGAAAATGTTGTGTAAAGAATAATATTTACAAAAAGCAATAAAAAGTACATAAATAACTTTTCAAGTCAGAGCTAGCTCGCACAACGAGCCCTCCTTTTTGGCACTTCAAGTGCCTCAGAATAGATAAACCTCCCTTTAAGAAATATCTGATTTTGCACAGCGAGCTTTCTCGCCCAAGCGTCGCACAGTGACCACAACGCAATTCAGCTACTGCCCTCTATCTGTTTTGCCTCGCTTTCACTTCGCCAAGAGGTAACACAACGACCTCGCTTTCCATTCGCTGAGAGCTTGCACAACGGGCTAACTGAATTTTCTCTTCTTTTCTTTAACTTCCTTTTCCATTTTTTGTGTCTCTTTCTTTGAGATTCATGCCTAATTCCTACACATTAACACACAAATAAAGGAATCCAAATAACAATGCAATTATGCTAGCAATTCACGCAATGTCATGGAATAAATCATCTAAAACACAATTAAAGAGTTTAAAAAGGCTTAGAAAATTAGTTCAATTTAAGTCATATTTGGCATTCAACATATTGCACTCTTTTAGAGCACATTGGACCTGACGATGTATTACAACTAAACTAATGTAAATTTGGATTAAAAATTAACATTTTGTAAATCTTCTCATTATGTATTTTTATTATGCGGTTTATCTGGAGGGCGTATATGGGTCTCGACCATCAACCTAACCTCGATGACGTTGCAGTCTGGACAGTAAAAACACCAATCATTAGGGTCACTACAGTGGAGATGCACCAAAGTGACCGAGTGAAACTGCAGTTCGACATACAACAAGATATTCTAGTCCCTCTGACGTGTTTGGGAGACTGACATCCACAAAGAGTAGATGCACAATGGGGTTATGAAGATTGAAAGACTTTGCTAAAGAAATGTGTCGACATTGGAAAAATCGACGTTGCCACATCTTAAACGATCATGTTGTGGAAGGGGTTAGACCAACTCATCATTATATGAATTGGTTTAGGTCGGTTACAACACAACAACTTGTGTCTGAGCCGACGTATTTGATCGCCCACACTAACGAGCTTTGTCGTCATATGCCCAACAACAAACCTGTCCATAAACCAACCCCACACCATTACCAAACCTAACAACAATGTCTACCCATCCAATCTTAACTACAACCTCACAACGTCAACATGGCATGTGCACCCAACCACCAAACATCTAAAACCGCAGCCTATTCGTGCCACACACCCAAACACAACAAGAGCCTAACCTATATTGCCAACAACCACACACCGACATCATATCTGCCTATAACCCCAATAACTCATTTGACTCCACCCCAACCCACCATAGCCCTCCACCAATGAACACCCAAACATCCCGCCGCCAAACCACTCAATCAGTATTTGACTTCCTTACCCCACAAGAGTCACTGCTTCGTTTCCAAAACGATTCAATGTACCAATTCGGCCAACCATACCGTCCTCACCTAACCCAACCACTACGACCCAACTTCGAAAACATGGGCACATAACTGAATTACTGTAGCGCCGTTGGCAGCAACTCCCCGACTATTAGGGACAAATGACTAAAAATATGTCAAATACGTTGGGACCCTCGCACCAACTACCTTTTCCTCATGCCTATACGCAAAGACCACAAACACCTCAACAAAACAGTGGTAGACCTCGGAGGCAGGCTAATACCCGAATCTGAAACCAGGGGACGTTTTGATCGGACGGGTCATTGATTTTCAACTCAATTGTTATAAACTTTAATTTCAATAAATAATAGTTTAAATTATTTTCTCTTTCCTTTTTATTTATTTCTATTTTTAATTACATTTATTTAAAAAAAATCAAAGAGGATGTGCCATTTAAAATGACGCATGCACTCCGTGCATACATGTATGTACCATTTTCCATGGCTTCACATACACGCATAAGCCATTTCAAATGGCGCATATGCTTTATTTCAAATGAATGAGCCATTAAAAATGATGCATATGCTTGCTTTCTTTCTGAAATATGATTATTTCGGTAGTTCTTTTGAAAATATAGTTTATTTAGTATTTTATTTGAAAATACTGATTATTTAAAAAAAATCATGTTTTATTGTTAAAATATGACATTTTTTTTGTATTTATTTTGTAATAATGCAATTAAAACTCAAATTTGAATTAATAAATTTTCTATTATTAAATATAATATATTTTAACTTTTAATATTACTTTCTAATTTTAATTAAATGATATGTCACATTATTGGATTTAGATCATCTCCCTTTTTATATATCATGTCATCTCTCATGTTTCTAATCTAATGGTTCAGAATTTATAATGAATAATTAAATAAAAAACAAAGACAAATTACTTATCCATTTCTCTCTTTTATTAAATGACTTTTTTTATTTAATTATTTATTATAAATTCTGAACCGTTAGATTAAAAACATGAGAGATGACATGATATATAAAAAAGAAGAGGATCCAAATCCCACATTATTGCCACATATTAAATAGACATGTTAGATGAAAGTGGGCCAAGTAAATTTCAAGGATTGTAAATTGAGAGATCAAAAAGGAGTTTTGAAAGATAACTAAAATAATAAAATCATCAAAATAAGGATTCACAAGTGTATTTAATTAAAATAGTTATTGCATAAATATGTTGTTGATGTAAATGCAGGAAAATATATAAATACATACAGAAAAATTTAATTAAAAATATTTTCAATTTCAATAGTTGCAATTGTCCTCATGTCCGTGTCCAGTTTCTTCGAATTTCTTTGGAAAACATTTCACTCTTTCATAATTTATACTTGAGGAGTTGCATACATGTTCGATTTCTTGGCTCGAGTTCTTAAATGAACCCGATTCAGCCGAACATTGTGGAACTAACCCAACTAATGAGTTATCCAAAATAACAAGGTCGGGTTGAAATAACTAACAGATGTAGGTTATGCTGACCCAAGTCTAGTGGAGGGATATAACTTATTAAAACATGGTAGAAAACACATTTATAATTAATTGAGGATACTATTATCCGAAATTTGGACAATTAAATCTGATTATCAATCACCATTAAGAGGTTATAGAAATTGGAAACAATCACCTAAAATTGCTTTGATGGACTTTTATGTAAGACATGTCAGAGTGACTATACAAGGGGAAGAGCGCAAGAAGAAATGATATACATTATTCATAAGATAATTCGATTGTGACTTTATTGGTTCCCAAGTTGGAATCATAGAATACCTATTCCACAACTTAAGGGGTGGTGTTGGAGACTAGAGCATATTAATAACCCCATTTCCAAGTAGCTTAGATTCATCTAATAAGTAGATTAACATCAATGTATTTCAGGAGATAATGCTAGTTTAACTCGTTTCTTGTAAATTTTATAATCATTGTAATTACCATTACCATGTTTATAAATTACGCAGGCTGCACAGTGCAAAGAACTTAAGCACATTGAAAAAAATATCCTCCTATTTTCACAATTCCATATGTTAATAAACAAATGTAGAATATTGCCAGATTCTAGGATGAATCTACTACATTTTGGCCCCAAACTTTGGTTTCAGGACAAATTACTTATAATCTGCAGCGCAAAACTACCTGAAAGTAGCCAGATGCTATTATGAAGATCAATCCACTGATCTGCATTTGTACTTAGTGCTACTTGCTCGCAGATGATTATCCAGCATTCTCTAGCTCACCAATATACATATTAGCTTGATCTGCTCTGGATATCATAAATCGCTACCAGCATCATGTAAAAATTGCCATGAATTACGACATTCCAGCTGCCCATCTTCACATGTAAGAAGAAATGCTATTGTGGTTTCCCCTGGCTCTGAAGCACTTGAACAATCTCATGTGCTCTAGTTTCTATGCCTTTCAGGTACTCCGTCAGAACCCGTTGTTGGTAAGAACCTCCCTCCTATCAAATGTACAACATCAGTTAAGCAGAAGACCCCCCCCAAAAAAAAAGATGAAATAGATGTTGAACTGTGTAGCTTGTCTCACAGTTCTAATTAAAGTGCGTTCCCTTCGTTTCTTCAAGACAGCATAGAGCTCCTCTGGTGAAACATCCCCAGCACCAATTGTTAATCCATTGATCAAAATACCGTTCCATTCTTGTTCAGGAGCTGTGCAAGGGAACAAAAATAGTTGATCTTGATTCAAAATATGTAAACATAAGTTGGAGATAAAAGGTGGCACACTATTAATCTAGACCAGACAAACATAAAAGAAGATAAACCATCCACAACATGGAGACTTCCAGGTATACAGAAGACTAAAACATTTATCCTGAGGACATAAGTTAGCCAAAAATTTCTCGCATATGATCTAGTTTTTTTATGAATTTTAAACACTAAGTCCTATTATTCATAAAATCCTTATTAATATCACTATTTCTCGCATATAAAAATATCTCGCTTAAGAATGGTTGGAATAATTGTCAACATGAAGAGCTAGTCGGAATGTCGTCTGACTAAGGAAGAAGAGACTTGCTGAAATGATCATTCACAGAAATTTCCCAACAAGCAAATTATACACCACTAAAATTGCTCCATATATGAAGAACAATATGTGGAAGATTTAAATCACTAGAGAACTCACAAGACCCACAAAATAGAGAATGAAACTAATGCTAATCAGTAACACATATATGGAGAATTCATATATCATCCGTGAGATAGGAGAAACACCAATGTATGATTCTCAATGATAGGCTGGAACGAATCACAATCACAGTTAATACATCATTGTATGACTCATTGGTAATTAAAAAGACACTGAAGGTTGTCGATGAAAAGAGAAATAGTTGAGAACATAAAAGTGTGAGGGCAAGCTGTCTCACAATACAGGCCTCCGAGTTTTTCGATGATGACAAAACAAATTAGAAGCATCATGCTATATCTCTGTTTTCATTGCTATACCTCTTGTTTCGGTGTTAAATTGTTATACCCTAATATGTGTCATTACTGAATGTAGCAGGATATGCAAAATGGAAAAAGTTGTTAATTTTGCAGGTTTCTAAGCAGTGAGTCGACCATACAGTCGGCGCATGAAGCCTGGCATTTCTCACGGCTCAACGCATGGAAGCTATGCGTCGACCGTACAGTCGGCGCATGAGTGTTTTGATTTTCCACGGTTCAGCGCATAAAGATATGCGTCGACCGTGCCACTCAGCGCATGGTGCTGAGGATTTCCCACGGGTCAGCGCACGCCGACCCTATGGTCGACCGTTCGCGCGCTGTGCTGTTTTTCCTGCTGTGATTAAAAAATCTGTTTTGTTGGCTGTTTTGGTTATTTCTATAAATAGAGTTTTGTTCATTTTTAACAACTAACAATTGAAAAATCTTGAGTAAATTGTCAGGGCAAGAAACGTGAAATAGGTGCAACAAATTTCTTCATCTTCATCCCTCACACAACACACAAATCCACAAATATACACAATCATTTTTGCTGAGATTAGTGTCTTGTTCAAAGGGTGATAAGGTTCGAACGCGTTGATTGAAGATCCGGTTCGAGTGGAAATTGGGGCAGGTGTTTCTTGCAGAAAACCTTGAGGGTTTTACCCATCAAGACTAGAAGGTTTTGAAGGGCTTTTGTCACGGAATAGTTCGTTCAACATTCAAGCAGGTGCGAAGGTAATTGATCAACGGAAGGTTCATCAATTTAGTAGCGAGGGCGTTGAAGTGTTGAAGACTTTCCGGGTTTGATTTGTTGGTGTCTAAGATCAGCCGAGCCGAAGGTTTGAACAACGGAAGGTTTTTCATTAAGGTGGCTGGAACCGGAGGTCATTCACAACAAATTGAAGGGCTTGATTCATCTTGAATCAAGGTGCAAGAAGAGATAGCAAGCATCAACAACATTTGAGATTGTTTGTATCATTGTCTATCAACTCTTGTGTAAACTGTTCATTCCAACAGGTGATATATATTCAATATAATCTCAATTCTAATTTTAGAATTGAGGGCAGACGTACCCCGAAGCGAGGACGACGGGGGAACTGCCTCATCAAATCGTGTGTTCTTCATTTTCTGTCATTTTCAATTCAGCTTATAAAATAAGTGATTTTAGCTTAAGTGATTATTGTCAAACTGTGATACAAATTGAGTAAGGTGTTGAAACTCTGTTTTAACTACTAAGTACAATAAGAATACTGTACTAAGGCATTTCCAATCTCTTACTCAACATAAATATCCTTTGTGATATTTGAACTATTCGACAAAAGTCCTGAACTAAAATTGTCTTATTTTGCTTCTAGTTTTTGTGTGTCTTGTTTTTCATTGGAACTAGGCAACCTTGCAAATTGAAGTAAACGATTGATAAGCATAGTTTGTGTTGTGATTTTATTTTTCCAAATTGTCATAAATCCATAGGCTTACGTATATCCGGTTTTCCAATAACCGTTCGTTTTAGACTATAATTTTCCTCGGCCGCTTCCGCATATAAAACATTTTTAAAACCAATTTTAAATTGGTAGCGCCGACTCAAATTTTAATCGGGGATCTATTCAACCCCCCCTTCTAGATCCGTGCCATAGTCTAACAAAAAGATGGGCCAATACAAGATATCCAGGGCCATATTTCATATGGGATAGCTGGGACCAAACTGCATGTACAAGTCCAAGGTCCAAACTGTTAGAAATCAGATTTTAACAAAGCTACAAAAGTGAGTGGAGGAATGTATTTTATTCAATTAATCAGTGGCTAATATATAGCCATCTTCCTCCTGATTCCCATGCATTCTTTGCTCTTGAACAAGTAAACTTCCATGGAGCTCATCAACAGTCATAGTATCTATGTCATTTGACTCCTCAATTGAACATACAACATAATTGAACTTGGGAGTCAAAGATCTCAAAATCTTACCCACCACTGTGCTTTGCTTCATATCTTCTCCGTTCACTTTCATTTTATTTATCACCATGAGGGTTCGCGAAATGAAGCTATCGATCTTTTCTCCTTCTTTCATAACCAGCATTTCAAACTCCTTCCTCAATGCCTGCAGTTGCGCTCTCTTTACTTTGGTTGATCCCTGGTACTTCTGTTTCATTGAATCCCATATCGCCTTTGATGTTCTTTTGTCAAGAATGGTTTCCATGATCTCTCTGTCAATCGCTTGAAAGAGATAGTTCTTAACTTTCAGATCTTTGAGTTTTGTTTCTTCGACACTTTTCCTTTGAGCCTCACTTGCCGCCGAAGTCCCGATTGCTGGTGCTGGAATACCTTCATCCACCAGGTTCCACATCTCTTTGCTCCTCAAGAAATTCTCCATCAACATCGACCAATGATCGTAATGGCCGTCAAATCTTGGAGTCACAAATTTCTCAGAGGTTGTCATGCTTCACTCACTCTCACACTCCTACAACCCCTTTCGGAAGCTCTTGATACCAAATGTTAGAAATCAGATTTTAACAAAGCTACAAAAGTGAGTGGAGGAATGTATTTTATTCGATTAATCAGTGGCTAATATATAGCCATCTTACAAGCAAAAGGAAATAACTAACTCTACTCTTTACAAGTAACAAACCCTATTTCTCCTAAAGAATAGGTCTTATTCAAACAGAATAATAGAACAGTAGACTAAAACAAATACTAAAACACTAATACGTGTCCACCTAACACAAACAACATCTGGTACAGCCCATTTCGGATAGTTGGAGGTTATCAGAAGGAAACATGATAATATGACAGACAAATGCAAAACTAATGGGACAGCTTGAAAAAGTGACGGACAAAAAGAGAACTTGAAAGAGAAAACCCCCACTTGTACCAGATTGACCATAAGAAAAGAATCATGGAGACAATGCCATTGTTAAAATAAAGCTCGAGATTTCAAGAACTCTATAGCAAAATAATGACAAGACAGGTCATGGAGGACAGAACTGCTGTGAATCATGCTGAAGTTATTGGGTTAGTCTTGGTTCTAGTTAAATAAGGAAATAAATTATGATATATATAAAGAAATGTAGAAACTAATCCTAAGACATAATATAAGTTACTTTAGATTACTCTTTAGATATAATCAAGATATTATAATATACTTTTCATATTTTCAAACACAAACAAGAGCAACAACTGACATTTTTACATTGTTTCATACAAATTCAACTTGTGGTACCTTTTAAACTTATCAACCCAAATGGGATGAGGAATTTATAAAAGAGACATTTTTACACAATATTTCTGCCCTGGTACCCCAACAAAAGAGCACCACTAATACATCATTAAGGAGGACAGAAATCAAACAAGAGAAGTTAATCCCCAATTGAAAATTATGAAGCAATTTGTTGCAGATGATTTAGAAAGTGTGGATGAAAGAGCACAACAACAACAGCAACAAAACCGAAAAAACAAATGAAATGCAGAAACTAATGAGATAGAGAAAAGGAATAAGGTTAGGATTTCTTGGCCTCCCCAGGACCACAAAACTATACAAACGAGACAATTGTTAGAACAAGCCTAATTGGAACTGACACAGAGATGAGATGATGATGCAGACATACACATAAAACGGAGACACTTCAAACAAAAAGATTTCAACATAATTCTTATATTAAATTTACAATTATATTTTTTTCTGTAACATAAAAGATTAGGATGATAAAGACACCTTGGATTATGGTTTCAAGGAATTGCTCATCCTTCAAAACTTTCTCACCTGCAAGAAGAATACAACAATCTTCCAAATTAAATAAAATTTTTTTAATAATTCTTCCAACAACGAATATATGTTGACTGGCAAGAAGACAATGTTATGATGGAAATGTTCATGTCTAGAACTTTTGTTTTCTATACACCAGCAGTGAAAATTTATATTTTACATAAGCAACCTTGTTCCATGTATTTTATTGATAAGTATGTCTTTGCAACTAATTTTAAACAGTGTAATAAAAATAGCCAAGAGAGATTTGTTATTTGTAATCATCTTTATTTGGTCAAATTTATTTTCCCACATGTATTATTTCCCAAAAAATTTCCCGTTCAATGAAGTTCTTGAAAGAAGTCGGAAAAAAAAAGAAAAGATAACATAACCCCGTACCGCAACTAGTGTCATGCTTCAACTAGAAAATACTCATCTATTCAGACATAAATTTCCTGTGTAAGGTACACTGACTATAAGCAAACCTTTCATGGCATAACTACGTTTTGAGAGAGAGTTGGAAGCGTACAGCTGCAAAACCTTTTGCAACATAGCCTCAAGCCCAGGCTTATCACCATCTTCCTTTGCCTGCTCATTATAGTCAATATACTGTTGAGTCTTAACTCGTAAGTAATATGTAAAGTAACTACAGCAAACAGAGTGAAACGTAAAAGTATATAAAGAAAATACACCCTGTAGTCCGAACCAAGCATAGCAGCGGTATTTATACAAATATCCCAAAAAATACCACCAAGTATTTAGGAATGAAAAATAGTAACTAACACACTTTGCCCCTCTTTGACTAACAAGAATTAGAAAACTAATACAAGTGTTAAGGATAGTATACATAGAAGGCAATGTTGGCTGGTATTTGAGCAAAGAGCGCCTACTGACAAATGAAACTATTACAGGTTAAATAAAAATGCTTAGAAGATAAAAACAGACTCACTTGTCTTAGTTGTGCACTAACTTCAGCAAGGAACCCTTCATCCAGCTGTCCTACTTGGCCCCTTCGATTTATTTCCTAATGATAAGGATTACAATTTTAAATAATAGACAAGCGGTTTGCGGAAAGTATACATTTAAGATCAAAACAACCCCCTAGCAACAATAAAATATCAAAATAAAAGCTAGCCATTTAGAAGAGAAGAAATACCACATATACAAATTTGTGGTTCTGCATAGTTATTTATCTTTTCCATCATAAATGACAACATCGTGCTACTTTCAATTAAGCTTACATTACAAAAACTAGAAGAATACACGGGCATAATTGATTGTTTAATGTTTTCAATGTCATTAGTCATTTGGCCTCATAAGTATTGTCTAATTGATATCCTAAAAAAAAAGTCTCGTCCAATTGATTTTTCACAAAAACATGAAGGTAAATTAAGCTTAATGTTAATAGATTGACATAACTAATGTATGATTACCCTAGTTTCTGTATATGGAAGGGCAGAAATACATCATAGTTTACCTTCCAGTGAAACAAGCCACTCTAGCTAAAATCAGCGAGAAACAGAACTCACCATTTCCATCAATGTGAGTGCTTGAGGATCTCGGGGAGGCCAAGGAATTTCTCCTTCATCATTAACAACAGGTTTTAGAATTCCCTTCAGGACATCTGTTGCAGACTCTATCCTTTCCTTCAAAGCAAGTAGTAACAAGATTATGGTCCAAAAAAGCACTAAAGAAAATAAACAAAACATTGAACAATAATCATGGAAGTGAAGAGGGAGATATACCTTAGTCTTATGAACCATAAGATCCACCACACTCATAACCGTTGTTGCCAATTCTTCATAATCTTTCTGCATACCAACAATAAACAGAAGAAAAAAAATAGTGCGAAAATTGACAAAAGACCTGTACAGAAACCGTACATAGAAATACTCAGAAATTCAAAAGTATACTTTATCATCCTCAGATATACAAGTATCCGATCTTGCAGCAAGTCGTATCCAGAAGTCTGGATTAAAAGCGAGAATGTTTTCGGCCACAAGTTTCTCAAGCTGTTTTCAAACAAAGCCAATATCAACAAACATTATCCAAAACCAATCAATTAACAGCAAAACTCATATCACATTCTGATGTATCATTACATAGTTGATTGCCATACAGCTAATAAAAAATTGATTACCACAATTTCTTAAAATCAATACTATTATAGCATATCAAACTCAAATAAAGTTCCTTGAAATACATGTTTTCTAATGCAAATAACCAAGATTAAAAAAAAAAAAAGAGCTGGAACTTCATACTTCACGAGGATTAGCTTCTCTAAGCATATCAATGAGTTTATCAAGCTCTACAGTTTTCTTAAAAGCTTCTTCGGCTTCCCCATGGGCTGCACATATGAAAGTTGTCCTGTTTTTAGATCCAAACACGCGATTTCAAATTTTCGATTTCGAATAGCTTCATCCAGTATTAGAAATTAATACCACACAAGAAGTGAAGATAAACAATTAGATCGCAAAATGCGAATAATAATAGTGAGTAACATCGAGCATGAGTGGTATAGTAAAGTACCTTCTTCTGCAATTCAAATTAAACAGTGTAAGCTTCTTCAAGCTAGGTCCGTGTTTGCAGAGAATCTGAATTTTCCGATTCTGTAGCAGTGCATGCTAAATTAAGCGCAGAAATAATGAGATTAATTGGTGATATGAGAAAGGTTAAATGAAATGCATAACGGAAAAATGGAAATAACGTACTTGTTGTAGATGTGATGATGAATGTGAGTAAGGAAAAGAGGAGTGAGTGTAAGCGGAAGCGGAGATAGAGAACGCGTTCGTTCTCATTGTTCGGATCAGGATTCAGGGATAGTTAGTTCGGTGGCGGGAGAAAGCTCTCAAGTGACCCTTTGCGTATCCAAATCCCAACCATACAACTCAATCTCTCTTGTTCACAACCTCTTCAATCCAATTTTTTATTTCTAATTTTATTTTAATGCGATTAAAAAATTGTTTATATATTATTTTATTCTATAATTTAAATGAAACAAAAAAGAAACTTTTTTTTTCTAAGCCAAAAATACATTTATATATCATCTAAGTTAAGAAATTTGGATCAAGGTCGTACCAATAAATCAGAAATTGAATCTATACAGATTAGATTCATAAAATGAATAAGGGTGGTAAAGTGGGAATACCGTTCCATTTAAATTCGTCTAAAAATGAGGCAGATTGACTTAGATGTTTGAATTTAAAAATAAAGTCCGTCATTTATTAACGAGTTGACGGATCGACAAACCGATCAATTAATTTTTTTTCTTTTTAAAATTTAATTTATTATATAATTTATAAAATTATTAATCATTATTATCAAAAAGGCTTGACAAATCTTGATGTAAATATCATATTCTTCAACATAAAAAAAACAACATAGCTATAATACTAAAAAATTAAAACAAACATACTAAAACTCCAAATAATCCATATGGTTCAAAAAATCAACAAACACAACCTAGTTAATGACATATAGGGACACAAATCAATAAAACAAACTAGCACAAGTTAAATAAAGACAACCAAAAACTTACAAAAAAATTTATCTTAAAGACTTCATGACAAACACTTCATCAATCATCATTTATGTCGTGAACATATGAAGTTTCGGTTTATATTGTAGGCGTAGCCATTGGGTGAAATCTTCCATCATCTCTCTCCTCATCGTCACCCACTATTTAATAATTATCAAGATCAACAAGATCAAAATCAATAGATTTATCAATGTATTCTATATGTTTTGTAATAAAGATTAAGAACGAAGCAAAAATCTATTAATATCTTCAAAACGAGGTGTTTTTGGTTATTTGATAAATGAATATTAGGGTTTGAAGAAATGATGGTTGTTTTAAAAGTAGATTTACTACGGACCACATTAATATTGTTTTAATTCCAAGTAAAAAATAATTTTTTTTAACAAAAAATTCGCAGGCAAAATTTGTTCCGCTCCATCCTCGATCTGTTTTAAAAATGGATTAGGTTGAGTAGGTCAACTTAAGACACTGAGCCGAAAACCTCGATCCAATCTGTAAAAAATGATTAGTTAAATGGACGGGTCCGACCTGTTTTGCCACACCTGAAAAATAGTATAAAAATGATAAAATTTGAATGACGCACGAGTTAATAAATATGCACATATAGATAAAAATTCGAAAAATACACAAATGAAAAAATTCAAAAAATACATAAACGAGAATTGAACTTGTAGCAATATATAAAATCCAAATCCTATTCTTATAAGAAAATTTTTTATTACACCTCAGATTCCGGAAATATAGCTCCGGAACAATTTAAACCTTAAATGGTCACAACATATTTTCTATAACTCATTTCCATTTGAATATTTTTGGAGATGCATCTACGAAAAATTTCTGGAGATACATCTCCGAAGTGTATCAGAACATGTTTTTTTTTTATAAAAAGTATATTGTGTATTTGTTCGCAGACGAATTATAAAATAACAGACATACCAAAATAATATAACAATATAGTAAGAGGATGCCATACGTCACAAAAATTTAAAATATAGTAATAATGTCAGGAAAAACGTACAAACTATAGTACTGAAACAAAATAAATACAAACAACTACTGGGTGTGCCTGACAACCTCTCCTCTGCCTCCTCTGCCTCATCAGCCATCAATACCCCTATCCTCGCACGATGTTTGCGGTACAAAAGTGCCCTCATGTGCCTCCGCAATAATGTCATCCAATACTCGCCTGACAGCATACCCCTCAGGGAAAACACCCTCATCAATGCATGCCCTTGCCATCTCCATTATGCGATTACAACGAGATAATACATCCTTAGTATGATCCAGCTGAGCCTGTTTCTCCTCAAGAATCTCCTGATGAGTTTGTCTCGGCGGATCTCCTAAAGCAATCGGCACCATGTACAAATGTGAGACTGTGAATAACCACCTGATGTATCCGTCGACGTAGGTTCAGTCATTCGATGCTATGGTAGTTTAAGCCTCATTAGGTACCAAATGACTCTGATAATCAGCAAACATCTCGTCAATCTTTGTACGAGTCAAGGCAGGAGAAGAAGAGACAACAGAGTGTCCGGGTGTACCCGAATTGTTGCGTGACGTGCTCGGGCAGATGAAGAGCAGTGATACACGATCCGCGGGCCAACCATCTAAAGTATAGCGATATACCGTCAAAAGGCCGCGTCTGACGATGACCCACATAGCAGTTGAAGTGGATGTCCTCAGAAACCAAGCAGACAAGATAAACTCTAAAAGGCTCGACCGCCTGGTCCCCTCTCAGCGAGATAAAAGCACAGGCACAAAGAATCTCCTCGGTATACTCGTTCCAACCCGCACAGCCAGCGATGCGCAAGAAGTGCTGGAGGATCCAAGTATGAAATAAAAATAAAAAACATTCAAGGATAAAGAATTATCACAAATATGAAATGAAAAAGATTTTAAAAAAACATTCAAGGATAAAAAATTATTACCACCAATAGTGTCGTGCTGCCTGTGATCAACTTCGTCGTCCAGCGACATCCATCTCTCAACTTCAAATACAAATATGCAATGTAAGCCACCCCCCAGTTATACTCATGGATCCGTGTGAGATCCAAGAAGTACAGGAGGTATGCGACATCAGTGTAGGTGGCACTCGTGTCCACAAAAATCACAGTGCCAACTAAAAATAGAAAATATGCCCTTAAAGCACAAGTCTTGTGTATGACCACCTTCTCAGCATCACCATCAGTCTGCATGACAGCAACGAGCGACTCATCAAATCTCTCTTTCAAAAACAAAAATATAACATGAGCACCCCTGGTCCTATCCACCTCCTTGAGCACCCTAGATGCTCCACCATCATATTGATCGTCTCGTCTTTGCTCATCCTACCATGATGGAGGAATTTCCTCCTGATCGGTAGATGCAACAAAGACGAGACATTGTCTAGTATAATCGACATCTCACCGTGTGGGAGATGAAAGGAAGAGGTCTTAGAGTGTCATCGCTCTACGAATGCATTAAGCATCACGTGGTTGACCAAACTGTAACTGGTCAAGCATTGATCACTCAACCCAAAAGCGATCAGAACCGACTGAAGTCACTGCTCTTCCGACTGATGCAATGCTAAAATCTTCTAGCCATGGTTCAAAAACTTTTAGGGATCACGCACCTGCGAATTTCCATAAATGATCAATGTCTATAAGAATCAATGATAGAAATAATCAATGTCAGCAATTTAAATTAACATAAAAATAATATAGTAACAATGTGACTAATGTCACCTCTCCGACCCAAATATGTCTGACAATTTGGTCTGGATACAAAGGAAGTAGGGACATATTAGACGGACCCCCTCCCAAAGCCTCTGGCTCGACATCAACAACATCACCCTACGAAGGTGGCACCGATGCATCAGGATCATCAGCAACCTCACCCTTCTGAGGTAGCACCAGATCAACAAGAGGTGGCACAGGTGCATTCTGACGCATGCATGAGGATGAGGGAAGTGTTGCGTCGTCTGATGCATCCCATGGCCTACGGAAAGAAGAAGTAGAAAGTGACATGGGTTGAGATGTAGATGGAGTGGCCTGAGGCTAAGGCCGATCCCCAGGAGTGGGCTGAGACGTAGATGGAGTGGCATAAGGCGAAGGTCGAGCCCCAAGAGTGGACTGAATTTCAGGAGTAGATAGTCCCCAGCAGTCGACGTCTCTCCCTAACTAGAGGTACCTGCTTTCTCTATAACCTGCTGCCTCCGCTCCCGTCGAACGTATGCGTGTTGGGCGACCTGCCTATGCCTCAATCGGTCGGCTCTGTCAGTCATTATGCATGCAAGGTATAATTAACCGTACAATGAGTCTACGCAAATGAATAACACAAACAAGAAAATTATAAAACAAAAAGAAAAAAATAGACTAAGAAAATTCTGAAAATATATCTCCGAAAAAATTGTACGTTTCATGTACGATGGGTGATTCCGAAAATACAACTACGAAAACATTCCGCAGATATATCTGTGGAATCACCCAGAATATATAACAATCTTACTTCAAAGTTAAATGCACAACAATCTTGTATTATGGAATTTGTCGGAAAGCACGGAAGAGTAGAGTTGAATTTTCGGGGAAAATGCATGCATTCCCTCCGGTACATTTGCCAAATTTGAACACTAAAGGGTTGGGAAAAATGATAGGATGTTATTTGCCAAATTTGCTACTAAATTATTATATTTGCCAACATTTGAATTGTTTCCCCTAAATTGCAGCAAAATTTAACTTTATAATAACGCAATGAAGAAGATCTTGTTCTTTCTACTCTCAGCTACTCAACTTATTCATGGTTCATTCCTTTTAGTATGATATATTGATCATTCACATCAATGAGAGTACCAAATGTTCGACATTTTGCTATAAAATCACATATCTCATGCCCTTTTAAATTTAACATTACACTAGCAATCAATTGTAACTTCTCTAAAATATATGTTATCTGTTTCTTTTCAAATACATCATTGTTAATATATTACCAGTGACGTGAAAAAGCGCTAGTTCGATCCATAGAAAAGACAAGTTATAAAAAAATCTCATGGAAGATGTAAGATCCAACTGCAATTTGGTAGATGAAATTGAGTGTCTTTTAAAAGCATATTTGGAAAGAAAGCAAAAGTGTTTAATACCTAAAAAAACATTGTCATAATAATAAAGTGATCTTAAATATTACAGTAGTATGTTTCAGTTATAGTAATAGTAGTCATTTTACAGTGCTGTATTTCACTTGATTAACAAGAAGGGAAGTTATATTCTTTGATTGTTGTGTTCATAA